TACCCAACAGTGACTAATCTCATCAGTTTCAAGCGGATAAAGGCTCATGCGAGACACATCCGCCGCGTCTCACAGCGTCAAAGTTTCCAAGGTTATGCTTCCTCTATTAACAGCACTGCCACCACCAAGGAAGTTTGGGATAGAGTGCATAAAGTCAATGGGCATTACCGGGCTTACTCAGTACCGCTTCTTTCCGAAAATGGCCTGTGCCCTGAGAGCCTAGAAGAACAGGCAAATCTCCTTGGGAAACACTTTGAACGTGTTTCTAGCTCTCAGAATTGTTCATCTGCATTTCTGAAACACAAGAGACAAGCAGAACTCCAATCCGTGCGGACATCCGGCGGAGCTCGAGAAGCATACAACTTACCTCTCACACTGAATGAACTAGAACAGATACTTCATGAAACTAAACCTACATCTGCTGGACCAGATGGAATTCACTACCATATGCTTACTCACCTTCACCCTTCCACACTCGACATAATTTTGTTTTTGTTTAATCGCATTTGGCAGGAGAGTACATTTCCATCGTCTTGGAGAGTAGCAACCGTCATTCCTTTTCTTAGGCCTGGAAAGGATGCATCGTGTGCATCCAGTTACCGCCCAATAGCGCTAACAAGCTGTCTTAGCAAAACTCTGGAGAGAATGCTTAACAAGCGACTCGTGTACTTTTTAGAAAAAGAAAATATTCTTGATAAATATCAGTGTGGCTTCCGTTCGTCACGATCTACATTGGATCATCTTGTCCGCTTGGAGTCTACCATCCGTGAGGCCTTCGTAAATAAACAGTACTGCCTCTCTGTCTTTTTCGATTTAGAAAAGGCTTACGACACTGCCTGGCGGCATGGCATCCTACAAGATATGTATAGCTATGGCATTCGAGGCAGGATGCTAGCATTCGTAAAGAGCTATTTGGCGATACGTACCTTTCGTGTCAAATTAGGCACTACCTACTCTCGAGAATTCTGCCAGGAAAACGGTGTTCCCCAAGGAGGCGTATTGAGTGTCACCCTTTTTATAATAAAAATAAACTCGATAGCCCGGGCCATCCCATCATCCGTAGAGTATTCACTTTATGTTGATGATCTTCAGATATCCGTCTCATCCTGTAACATTGCTCTCTGTGAACGTAGGGTCCAATTAGCAGTAAACAATCTACTCAAGTGGGCTGATCAAAATGGCTTTAGGTTTTCACCAGAAAAAACAGTTTTCTGTTTGCTTTTCTCGCTTACGAGGAGCTACAATAGATCCATCGGTGACCATGCACTCCACTCCAATTCCAACAAAACCGGAGCAGAGGTTCCTAGGGCTTATTTTTGTTAGTAAACTGTCCTTTCTTTCTCATATTAGGTATCTTAAGGTAAAATGCCAGAAAGCACTAAACATTCTTAAAGTCCTTTCTCATACCTCATGGGGCTCTGATCGTCTCTGTCTTCTCCGAATTTACAGTTCGGTGGTTCGCTCACGCCTCGACTAGGGTAGTTGTGTATATGGATCGGCAAGGCCCTCAGCTCTTCGAATGCTTGACCCCATTCATCACCAGGGATTGCGACTGTCTACAGGTGCATTTCGCACGTCGCCTATCCCCAGTCTTTATGCAGAGACAAATGAATGGTCTCTGGAAAAGCGAAGGTTTGCTTTGGGATTTATGTATTCCCTTCGAATACGTTCGCTCACCCTGCATCCTACACGCGAGGCTGTAGAAGAAACAAGATATAAGCGCACCTTTGACAACAAGCCCTCTATAATCCCGCCTTTTAGTATGAGAAATGCAGCTGCAGCTGATTCGGTTGGACTGAGCACTACAATGCCCGTGACCCCCGTACCTCAAGCAATAGCTCCGTGGGAATATAGCCTCATTTTGTGTGACTTTTCACTGACTAAGTTCAGAAAGAGAGACACCCCACCAGAATGTATCAAACAGGAATTTTATGAAATCCAAAGTAGATACGCTGGTCACAGCTCGTATTACACAGATGGCACCAAGACAGAAACGTTCGTTGGATGTGCTATGGTTGGCCCCTCTGTTCGCTATGTTCAACGAATTGCATATACAGCTACTATTTTAACAGCTGAACTATGTGGTATCCGCCTGGCAGTTAATCATATTATAGAAACGAAGAGCATGAAGTCAGTTGTGTATACTGATTCACTCAGTTCATTGAGAGCGCTCTCATCACTAAATACCTCTAAACACCCAATAATCATAGAGTTGCAGAATAAAATCATTGATGCTTCCAAAAGGAACATTAAAATAGTCTTTTGCTGGGTCCCTAGCCATGTTGGTATACCGGGTAATGAGGAAGCAGACCTTGCAGCCAGTTCTGCTGGTGACAAAGAGGTCGAACTGCATGACATTCCATATAAAGACTATCACAGACTTTTAAGGCATCGTATAAGAGAGAAGTGGCAGCAAGAATAAGATGAAGAAGTAAATAACAAGCTGCATACTGTAAAGCCACTGCTTAGTGAGTGGGAGAGTGCAAGACACCGTGAACGCTTTTATGAGGTTGTCCTGTGTCGGCTAAGGATAGGGCATACGCACCTCACCCATGGCCACCTTCTGCGCAGGGAGGAAGCCCCAGAGTGCGAGCACTGCAATAATCCTTTAACTGTCGCACACATATTATTAGAATGCCCTGCTTATGACCTAGGCCGACGGAAACATTTTTCTCAGCTATATAAAGAACATACGCCTTTAAACCTTCCTATTTTGCTTGGCAACGAACCATTAGTTCCGCATTACAGCGTTTTTAGCTTCTTGAAAGCTATCGGCCTTTTACACCGACTATGATTTTACACCCAACTTCATGTCCATAACTACTTACAAGTCATACACATAATTTTAACCTATCATCAACTACTAAAGTCTTCGAAACCCTATCTGCAATAGTGTATGTACATGGCGCATCATAGCCTAAGATGCTTTTGCGCCATAAAACCCCAACCAACCAACCAATCTTCTTCTAAGTCTTCGTCTTCCCCACCAACGTCAGCCTGAGTTTTTGCAGAATTATGTTGTTTTTAAGCATCACTCGAATCGACATCGCTCTTTACCTGGGAGAGAAATTAGTCATCCAAGTCGTAACACTGTTTGAGGCTGGTGACATGGCCGGGTTCAGCGAGTCGTCCAAACTCACAATGGACGAGCATGTACGTGAGGTGTGGTGCTTTCTCTAGAACTCAATACGGACCGTTTCACCTCTTTGCCAGGGAAAAATGGGAAATTCAGAGTTATCGGCACACAAGAAAAACATGATAAAAAATTTCGAGGACACCCGAGCACTTCCTGTGAGTTGTGAATGCGAAAGTATGAATGCTGTTCTTTCGCTCCCTTTCTTCGTCTGCGGCGTACTGGCGTGGACGGCCACGTTTCGCTGCTTCCACGTAGCGGCCGACAACCGAGCGCGCGCTGAAGTGACCACGCCGTCCTGAGCTCGGCCGTGCAGCCTCTCCAGAGTTTGGCCAGGAAATTGGCCACACACTTCTGGTCGTCGTAGCCCTTGTATGACTGGACCTGTACCTGTAGCTGTGGCCTCAGGGGCCGGTCACGAGATGGATATGCACAAGAGCCAAGCAGTGAAGGAAAATGATAAAGATGGCGGTCGGTGACTGAAGCCGAGTCGAATGGCCACGTAGGCCTATCGGGTATTAGCAAAGGCAGAAAAAACAACGCCAAAAAAGAGTTAGATGCATAAAACGGACCAACGTAGGGAGCTAAATTCTGTAGGGCTCTTTGCGTATGGCTCACCCGCAAGAAGAACCAACGAGGCAGATACAAAAAATGAAAGCCGTTTACAATTCCCTGTAACGCCGGTTAGAGCGCAGTTTTTGAGGTGGAGGATGGAAGTGTACTGAGGGATAGGTGACTCCTTGAGGTCACGTGACCTCAGGGGGCTCACATGACCTCGGGGGGGGGGGGGGGGGTCGCGTGACCTCAGGTGGTCACGTGACCTCAGGGGCTCACATGACCTCGGGGGGGGGGGGGGGGGGTCACGTGACCTCAGGCGGTCACGTGACCTCAGAAGGGTCACATGACCTCGGGAGGTCACGTGACCTTGGGGGGGGTCACGTGACCCCGCGGTTACGGCGACGCCGCTCAAGCCGGAAACGGGCCCCTAAGAGCTGCGCTCTAAAAACATACACCTGTATAGGGGGTATTCACTGACTCCATATTTGAGGGCGCTGTTTAGAGCGCATGTTCAGAACTAGCTCACATTAATAAACTGCTAAGACCGGCAACCTTAGCGGTGTGAAATGAACGTTGCAAAAGAACTGTGGGAGCTCGCCGTCAGCACGCTCTCAGCAGTCGCACACACAGCTATGGCCGCCAGTGAATACTCCCTACTCTTCAGAAGCCGGCCAGCAAACGCCGGCTCCCGAGCCCGAGCGTGGCTTGCGCGCATCCCTTTCGCGCCAGGTGCTGGGCGTGAGCTTTTTTTCTTCCGTGGCTTTCGGCCGGATGACCGGCAGACATCAGCGCGACGAGGGCCTCTGTAGCGGCTCCTTTGCACCTTGTGGAGGAGCAGTGCCTGACGACGCTGAGGGAGTAGGGAATGCGGAAAGCAAGTTCGTCTGCATCTTTTGCTGGGGCTGTGGTGACGTCAGAACGCCGAGCTCTGGTTGGCTCTGATTGAAGGATAGTGAGTAGACCTCAAAGCAAGCTGCCTTGAGGTCTACCCACTCTCCTTCAATCAGAAACAACCAGAGCTCGGTGTTCTGACGTCACCACAACCTCAGCAAACAAGCAGAGGAACTTGTGATCCGCAGAGCTACTGGTGCACTCCAAACTTATAACTAACCGTTGACGTGCGCCACCAAAGCGTCTCTGTGGTCGGCCTTCCGGAAGTAACTAAGCTAGCTATGTTGTTTTTGGTAGGATTATTTCTGCTTTCATTGACGGCATTAGACATAAAAGACAATTTGTACTGGTGACCCTCGGTTACAAGAGTTATGCATGCATCCGTTCATACGTCTACGTCACACGATTGCCCTTGTAGGAGGAGATCCGGTACGAACCGGACGAGCGCATCCCCGTGCGGGAGCGCTTCTGCTTCCTGCTGCAGACGGTCCTGTCGGACACAGCGTACCACTGCGAGCACCTGAGCGAGGAGATCGCCAACTGCCAGCTGGAATTCTTATCGGCGCTGGTGCGCATCTGCGCCAGCGCCCAGGCGGCGGCCTGCAAAGCCACGGACTCCGCCGTCAGCGCTTCCACACTCAACATAAGGGTGAGTGGGAAGACACAGCCGTTACCTTCGCCGAAGGAGGTCACGTAACCAAATAATTTACCATAGTCTGCTGCAGGTTTAGAGCAGCGGGAAGCACCTCCCACACATTTTTGTGCGCGCCATGATTGGTGAGTTCCTTCTCTCCACTCGCCTCCTCCCAAGCGTTCGCTTTGCTAAAGTTGCAATGGTGACTACATGGGAGGACCCTTTCCTGCTATTTTTAGCTTGCAACAGACTACAGGGGAATACGTCTCGCTCTGAAAAAAATATCCGATGTCCCTTATTGGTACAGGCTTTGCGTAGTTGGAACAAGAGAGGCCCTTCTGAGCGCACGACACTAGAGCGCCGATGTTGGAGCGCGCGACATGAGAGCGCTGCGACAGGATCGCGCTTTCGATTACAGCGCACGTCACGAAAGCGCATGACCAATTAAGCGCACGTCACGAGAGCGCATGACCAATTGAGCGCACGTCACGAGAGCGCTTGACCGGTTGAGCTACCAGGGTCAATGGATGGTTTGTAAAGTCGCGAAAATACCGGCGACTCCAGGTAAAGGCCCAAGCGCGATTGCATCGGATGCGGAGGAAAGCTTACGAGCCTTTTGATCGGTATGGGAGAAGCATACCCTGCAAATTTATGAATTAGACATGAGAATTTGCCAAAAGTCTATTCGTCGATGTGCAATAACAGTGAAAGAACAATTAGTTGCATTTGGCAATGTGCACAAGGCCAATTTGAATAACAAATAATTTGATGCTGCCAGTGCGCATAAAAAAATATTAGTCTGAAGAAAGCAAAATAAAATTGATGTTATACTATACATTGTTATTGCCTAGTATTTTAACCAGGGACGTATATTACCAAATATTCGCTGACTTATTCTTTGGAAAGCATAACTGCAAAGATGCTAAAAGCAATCAACAGTAAAAAGTAGACCATTTCTAAAAACACATGGCCGCTTTAAGATAAGCTATTTTAGACTTGTGGCAAAAGTACACACACACAAAAAAAAAAAACATGTACGTTGTTGTGCTGTAGTGGAAGCTGTCTAGGCTATGCCGAAATCTTCATAGCTTACCATTTATTCAGGAAATAACGCCTTGAACGCCAGCGCTTTGCGATCGGCGTACAAATAAAGTTTTCCCCATTTCGGCCTCGCCATAACTAAACAAGGCCGCTGCCCTGCCAGGGTAGTCACATTAGCGGAACGAGGATAACAGCAGAGCGCATTGCTTATTTCCCGCACGCGTGGGAGATGCCTGTTGCCCTGGTTTCACTCCCGCTCTAAGATGATACCGACCAAACTTTCTAAACCAGGGTTTCGAAACGTTCGTCTTCTCCGCACGGATATATAAAAGGAAGCTAAATTTATGCTGACCTTTTCTCCGGGTCTGTCTAAAGTGTAGTGAGCGTTCCTTTGCTCCGAGTCCGCTAAAACATGAATGAGGGGTTTTCTGGAGAGCTCATCTGCGGTGTGCTTTTTGCTGGTATTCGACGAATGGCCTTAGTGGGTAAAACGCACAAAAGTTGAGTTAAGTGAAAATTTTTTCGAAGGTGCTGTGGTGTACATTTTGGCGATTACATCTCACAACAGAGGCCGGCTAGATTTTATTTTAGCTCGCACGAAACAAATGCAAGTACCGGACACATATACCCACTCTGAATGTAAAATTAATGTTTTTATTACGTATACCGTAGGATGCTTTGTTTTCCGGTTTTATCTTTATTGAGGATTATTTCAGGTGTAGCACGATCGGCCCCGCGGGAAGAATCCTATCGCGAAAGGTCCGTGTCATTAGCCCTCGTTTTGAAAGGTAACCAAACGAAAACTCACCGGACAAAATCTCACCCGTTTTTTTGACGGACCCGGACAAAAGCTCACTGGTTTTTGCACAGACCCGGACAGAAGCTCACCGGACGAATTATTGTGGCAGGCTTATAGGCATTCCCGCTTTATAAATATTGTACGCACTTTTCATTTGTCGGCGATTTTTTCGATCAGTTAGCCCGCGCTGAAACAGTGTGGTACCGGCAATTGCTAACGGATATATAAAGTCAAATTCTGACCGGTCTTGCTTCAACTTGTGTCCTTGAACGTAGTCAAACTTGACTCTCTACGTGAGCTTTGACTTCATCGATGTGTCATTCCGCAGATATCCGGGATTTGCGTAATAACATGACGCACAGTGCTAATAAAAGACTGAATCCATTCAGTCCGAAGCCACAGGACGGCAGTGACTAACAACTTGACGATTGAGTGGTCGATAGCACTCGACCGTGATTTTCTTTTACCAATGAATAATGTCCAAGTTATTCCCCATAGCATACCAAGCCACAACTGTTGCCGTCAACCCCCCAACTTGGAACTATCGGGCACCGTAGAATGACTATACTCCTTTTCATCTTACGGGCAAATAACGGCAAAGCTCAAAAGCTAACAACGCTATAGCTCAAAAGCTCTGTACGTTCCTGCTTTGCTCGAGCGCGCTAGCGGGGCCGGAACGCAAAAAGCGGTGGTCTCGTGCGTCTAGTTTGGGCTTCGCTCGCATAAAATATGAAACGCCCTTTGTTTTCCTCAGTCTTGGGGTTTTGGTGTACCATGCACTGCCATGCCGTTCTAGATGTCTTATATGTGTAGGAGCGACATTCGCTGATAAGATGTTTACTGTATACGACGTCCCCATGGAGCTGTCAATGTGGCCACCAGCGAAGCACTCTTGTATCAGTGACTGTTGCCGTGCCACAATTACGTTCCATAGGGCTATCAGACGGAAAGTGTAACTTTACGGACTCTTCTCGTTCACTTTTTGAGTTCCAACAAATATAAAAACGGAGTTCAGTCAAGACTGACGAAAAGGAACAACTTTTAGCTTGGTAAAATTTAGTCACGGTACATTAATAAAACGGCGAGCTTTTGTCCGGGTCCATGAGAAAATCGGTGAGCATTTATCCGGGTCAGTATGAAAATCGGTGAGCTTTTGTCCGTGATTCTCGGTTTAGAAAATCCCGCGCTCAGCGACCTCGTGACCGAGGAGACGCCAAACTAAACACAGGGCCATATTGCGTAGGACTTCAATACAATGGAAGAGATCGACTTAATCTATCACCGACTGTATTTTATTATCTGCATTGATAGTTTATCGCTCATTATTAATAAAGACATCTAAGCACTTCCTATGAGATGTGAATGCGAAAGCATGAACGTCGTTCTTCCGTTCCCTTAGTTCGTCTGCGGCGTAGTGGCGTGGACGGCCGAGCGCGCGCTCTCGTGAAGTGGAATCGCCGCACTGAGCTCGGCCGTACAGCCTCTCCGGAGGTCGCCCGAGCGAGCTGTGCGACAAGGCCCCCACCGCCGCACTTCTTACCGGCGGCAGGACCGCTCGTTCGGAGAATTTTTTGAGCATCAAAGCAATTCGCAGCCATAGATGAAACAACGGTAACCACAGGTTAGTAGCGTCAAGAAATGGTCTTGGATCTGAATATCGGTCAGCGACAAATGTTGCCAAGTACCATAGCAAAAAAAAAAAAAAAAAGAAAAAAAAGCAGAAACTAATTTTATTAAAAAAAGAAACTATCAACGAAATAGGCATTCTTGGCAAGGAAAGCATATTTAGGCACATACCAAAGAATAGGCAGTTATACGCACTATAAAAAAAAAACAGTAATGAAACACTGGACTGCTAATTCGGGGCCTTAAATAATAAAGAAGCGAAATACGAAGGAATGGAATAAAACAAGCATTTTGCCGAAGATCCGGGCTCTAGTCATCACTCTACACAAGCGCGTTTGTATCGATGTACTCTATAGCTATTAGGGAGAACTCGGGGGAGATTCAATAGGCATAACCCTTTTTAGTGTTTCCGCCAACTGGGGTAGGCTGGCAGGAATTCGCTAACGATGACGTAAAACGCAGACCTTGTCTTCTAGCTTATATTGGGGAGTTCCAGAAAACAGTTACCGTGTTCCGCGTACCTCAATGCTGAAGCTTTTGAAGCATGCTTTTAAGCGCGTGTCCCGCGGTCATGGTTACTCTGGCGTAGGCTATAGAAGGATGCTTCAAAGGCTCCAGTAGTGCGGTACACGGAACATGTTAACGGTATGCTAAAAGTCCCTATTGTCGCATACGCTTTTCAGGAACGTTATCCCATGCTCATCAGCACTTGCTTTCTGCAACTCCAGGTGTCCCAGACCGTGGTTCCTCTCATCATCGGTACGTGCCGAGCCATGGCTCGAGCGAGCTTTGAGCTGCCTTACCTCATCTGCCAAATTTTTCCAGTTCCTGAAAAAGTGTCTATTATACAGAACGAAAGAAGCGAAAGCTATAGCAAGAAAAAGAAGCAGGTCGATGCCTACAATCCGATCTTGGTACCCCGAAGAGCCATGGTGAACTACTGGATGTCCTCGTGCCACAAAGGAGCGTCCAGGGAGCGCAGGGAAGCCCTTCTCCCCTACGAGAACATCACGACTCCCATTCCCTTCAAGCCGTCGACTTTTTTATTTCGTCATTTCGGATCCAGTTTTAGCCAGATGCGCGTGATCGCCGAACGGGAGGACCTAATTCGCAAATCGCACATGAAGTTCAGCGCCATGAAGGTACAGGTGTTCCTCACCCTCGCTGACCGAATGTTGTCCGACGAGATGATCGAGTACCTGGACCGTTGCGCGACCTTGGTACATGACGGAAATCTGTCGATGATTAACCCATACATCTCGTTCGGCGAAATCTTGAAGCTTGTCTGGATCACGCTGCTCCAAGAGCTCCTCTGCAGCTACACTATGGCCGATAGGGAAAACTGGAAAACCTCGGCACCCCTGTTCTACAGTCTCACCAGGGACATACAAAAATTCGCGAAGCATCTGTTCATCGCCGGTCAGAAGGAAATACAGGTCAAGTCGTACGACTTGAGCGATCAAGAACAGAGGGAGAACAAATTCATTTGCATCAACCGCTTCAAGTTGAACGTGCAGACTATCGCAGTCTGCGTCGAAATTCTCGTCTGGGCCGAAGTGGACGAGAACGGCGGAGACCTTCTCTGCGGCAAACTGACTGAGAAGATTTCCAGTCCTCACGGCCTAAAGCTTGCGCTGGGACACTTGCCGATCATCATCGTCTGCTTGGAAGGGCTAAGGACCCTTGCTGAGACGTTCCCCTTGATCGTCGACACCTGCTTACTGCCCTTGCGGGAGTTTCTAGGAAATCCTGCTCCCGTGCTGCTGAAGCTCCACCAGTCTATGGAAGAGATTACCAGTGGTGACCATGCAGGCGTCAGGATAATCTGCCAAACCGCCTTGAGGCAGGTCCGGGACACGGCTATCGAGAGCCTCTGTGGCGTCCTCAGGGTGGGCATTGAACAAGACCCCGAGTGCGTTCAGGCCTACTTGGCTTCCGCGTCCAATAAGCTGTACCAGGCCGAAATCAGTGGAGGTGAAGGGGGTCTCATTGCGGTCAACACAGTGCTGGCTCTTGGAAAGATTGCGGTGTACCTGAAGAGAACTCCCAAGACCGAAAAGTCGGTGCTCCAGTTCTTCCAGCAACGGTTTTGTAAGCCACCTTCTACCTTGGACACGGTCATCGTGGACCAAATGGGGAGGATGATTGTTGCCAAAGTGGATAGGCAGGTCCGGGACGAGATAATGAAGATGCTTACCATGATCACTCTGGTGGCCAACTCACTTTACTCCAGGAGCTCCGTGGCAGAATCAAAGTGAGTTGTTCCTTGTGTGCAGTGGCGTAAATCCATTCGAATTCTGGGAAAAGATGGGGGAGGGGCACGCAGACTGTTATGGTAGCTTTTTTAAGTTTTAAAATTTTATATGAAATGTGTGTTTTCGCCCTGGAAGTAAATAAAAAAAAATAAACGTAATGTATAAATATTAAAAAAAAAACACATGCCACCGGTTTATATTCAACAGTAATGAAGTTTAGATGGGGTTTCACGTACCTCAGTCGGGGATGTAGTTATAATTTTATAAATACCATAGTGAGATAACTTAAACAGAAAGTTTGCAATGGGATTTGACAATTATTTTTCCTTCATAGAAAATATCTGTACGTATTAAAATAAATAATATCAGTTCGTCAGTGCGCATATTTGGAAATTAGCACAATGTTAATTTTGCCTGTATACTAAACGCAATATTTTGCATAGAAGGGGTATTAACACGAGGAAGGCCCTGGCTTCTCGGCTCCGACATTCACAAGGACGGTGGGGAGTCTAGTTGCTTTTTCTTAACGAGACACAGGCAATGTTCATAACCTCGTGCTGTGACAGGGGATACGGTCCATTCGTCACATGCACACTCGTCACAGGACGATTGGTCACAGGACGATTCGTCACACAGGAACATTCGTCATAGGATGACTCGTCACGCGGCCAACCGGTCCCCCAATAGTTCGTCCCCCCTCAGCTACTTCCTTTGCTTCCACGAAACCTCATACACTCAAAAATTTAAGGCCGACTACAGCCATCACTGAATTTTCACGAAGAGACCTACAGCCAAGACAAAAGAACAGGTCCTTGTATGCTTTATCGGTTAGATCATCGCCAGCAGGCAACTTGGCAGTACACTGTGATAGGTGCGGTTGCAAACCCGTTCTTGTTAAAATGAGTATCTTAGGACGACACAGTCAACAGATGACTAGAGAAATTTTAGAGGCATTTTATATTTCGAAGCAAAAAGATAGGTGCGTTAGTTCGCCTTCCATCGTATTATTTGACAAAGAGCTGGCATTATTGAGCAAATTTGACACGTGCGGGTGAGGGGGGGGGGGGGGGGGGGGGGGGGGGGCGCTGATTTGATGTGGTTTTACGATCCGTGATCCTTGTCTATTTGTGTTTTCGTACAATTAATCAGTTGAGAGTCAGCGCTCGGTTTGTACACTTCGTATTCTTGTCCTCCGTTGGCTTGGTGCTGTTTTACTTTTCGTTAATCCAGCCCGCTTGTATCCCGAACATCGGTCACTCAAGAGATACGCAAAAATTAACCTTTATTATCCCCCCCCCCCCCCCCCCCCCCCCGCCTTCAAACTGGACAATGAATCCGACCTTCATGAAGAAGGACTAGTAGTTTTCAAGACTGAGTTTCCAAAAGCCCTAACCTCTCCTTCACTTGCTCGCCTTGCGGACAGGAACATCAAGAAGCAACTATTGTTAGGTTCGAACAATGGACTTTGTTAGATTGAGATGTGTGAGGATGTTGTATAACGCTCGTGCAATTTGGGGTAGCACTAGATTTGGCTTGTCTGAATCGCCCACCACAAACGTGAAACATACCAACAAATGAAACTGCTTCAGCTAGTTTTTTTCTCCTGGTGCCCTTCCGTCAGGGCGTTCAAATTCGTATGTTGCCATTTAATGTGATAGATTAAAAAAACAAAAAAAAAACTTCGCTTGATTTAACTAAATATGGTAATTAGCACAATACAAAAGTAACGTATATGTAACGATACGTTCCATTTTTTTACTGTAACGGAAACGGGTTCCTTTTTCACGTATGGAACTTGTAACGGGAACGCGTTCCAAAAAGCAGAAGAAACGAGGAACGAGCTTTCGTTCCTTTTTTTGAGGAACGTGTGCAACACTGGCCACCTGATAACGCAAACCACAAACCCATCTTCAACACCTAAAAAAAAAATACAAGAACAAAAACTTTGAGTTGTTCTATCTAGTGTTATTGACGGTTGACTGATACAATTTCCTGTGAAAGCAGTTCTGACTGTTTGCTTCAAGACTTGTTGCATAATCTTTTTCGTTTTTCTTAACACCAGATTTTTTCAATAATCAGGCAATCAATTATTGAATTCCTGCGCATGTTTAGCTATTTCAGAGTTCGGAGATTTGTTCTTGACCGCCCTTACGTGCTCGAGAAGACTGCCATATAGGCACCTTTTCGTCTGCCCCACGTACGAAAACGCCATTTGGATATCATATACTGCTCCAACCTGGCAATCAACGGTGGCTTCCCTATGTCGTTTTTGACAACCCTTTGCTCCGTCCGCAAACGGGGTAAGCCTGTTCAACTTAGAAGTCGGAAGAGAAAACCTCTCCAAAGCGGAACCTCCCGGCCGCTGCCAACAGGTTGTGCGAAAAAAGATTAAAAAAATGGGATGCACACGATCCTGTACGGTTTTTTCTTTTTTTCCTCAACACGCCTCCGATTCTTTCAAAGCACTTATACCTCGCCTCCTATACGCACACCCATTGCCCCCTAACAACCTTCTGTACTTTGTCCCGGTAAGACATTTTTTAGAGCCTTGTCCAGCATGCACACCACTACACCTCGTTTGGCCAATTTCGAATGAGAACGTTTGTATGGCAAAAGAAGTTTGCCGCGAACTTGCCACATTCCCAGCACAACCCGTTTATTGTGAAGATACGTTGAAGACATTTCGATGTGTTCAATTGTGTCAGAGGCTACACAGAAGATCAAAGAGGTCATACTACAGGTGACGGCGGAGTTGACCTTTTGCAGTGAGGAGCCTGATGAAAGTGTGCTGCCGTATTCGGATTTGAGGTTGAATACGCTAGACTTGTTGTGCTGGGAATATATCATGCTCGCGGCAAGACCCTTGTTGCCGTAGAGACGTTGTCATTCGAAATTGGCCAAACAAGGTCTTTGCTGGACAATGCCCTAAAAAATTATTGCCGGCACAGAGTACAGAAAGCTGTTAGGAGAAAGTTGGCACGTGTATAGGAAGTGGGGTATAAGAGTAAAATTGGGGAGGATCTCCTTCCTTCCTCGGCTCCGCCCTCTTTTCTGCCAGCCACGTTCTGTGGCTCCTCGCGCCCCGCTTGTCGGCTTTGGCGAAACAACCTCCCTCTCTCTTTTCACAATTTTTTCTTCTATCAGCTGTTATCCCCTTCCCCTCCCCCCAATCCAACGATGACCGTTCGGCCTATGGCTGTAACTCCAACGATGTTTTTTCCTCTTTTGCAAGACTTCTCTCTCTCTCTCTCTCTCGCGTCGCAAAGTGCTTGGAAAGAATAGGAGGCGTGGTGAGGAAGAAAGAAAGAAACGGGATAGGGTTGTGAGCATTCCCTTTTTTCTATCATTTCTCGCACAACCTGTTGGCGGTGGCCGGGAGGTTCCGTGTTGGGGTGGTTTTCTCTTCCAACTTTAAATTGAACAGGCTTACACCGCTTGTGGGTGGAGCGCAGGGTTTTCAGATACGGCACAGGGGAGCTACCGCTGATTGCTAGGTTGGAGTAGTGTATGATATCCCAAATGACCTGTCGGTTTTCGTACGTGGGACAGACGAAAAGGTGCCGATATGACAGACTTCTTTAGCACATGAGGACGGTCAAGAACATATCTCCGAATTTTGTGTAAACATGTGCAGGAATGAAATAATCGTCTGACTGATGGGGGAAACTGTGGGGATAAGCACAGAAAAATATTAAGCAAAAAGAGTTCTGATGTAGCCAGTCAGAAAGTTCTGCAACTGTAGGAAATTCTCAGTCAACTGTCGATAACACTATACACTCCCTGCAACACGATGGGTGCACCTCCCCCCTCACCCCCAACAAGGGTTGGAGGGTGCCTGAACCCGCCCCCTCCCCTTTCCCCGGTATTTGCGTCACTGCCTCTCCGTGATAAATAGGAATGATGCAGTGTGAATTAAGTCCCAACAGTATTGGTGGATTATCATTTACTGGCTACACTCTGCAAAGGAAAATGACTGGGTATCCTTGCTTGGTACGGGCATGCCGTGCTGAAAAATGGGCTGATCTGTGTTTTCCTAAGGCGGCAAGTTTTGACTTATGTTGAGATGAAGTAGTTACAATCCAGAGAAGGACGAAGGTCATGTCTACCGCTCAAATTATATTTGCGGTAGATCACTGAGCATGACAAAACGTTATCTCAGCATTTATTGCAGATTTTCCCACCAAAGCATTTATTTATAGGCCCACATATCCTTTAGAATAAAAGAAAAAAAAAGTGTGAAATGCATAAAATTTCAGGAACATGTTGCTCAAATGATAAAATACAAACACGTCGTTAAAAAAAAATGAAAAGCCACCGGCGTCGTGACATCGAGCTAGTAAAAACTCGTCCTTAGCGTCTGAGCTCAAACTCAGTTTTTCTTCATGTTTGTATGTCCTGATCATTGTTTTCTTTTTTCGTCGAAGAAATTGTATCTTTTTAAGTGGTTGTTTGGCGTGGATGGGCGGAAAGGCGGCTTTCAAGTACACAATGTTATTTTGGTCACGAAAAGTTTTTAAGCGTCAGTTAACTTGGCGTGCATGAGTAAGGTTTTTCCTCGCTTTCTAATGGGGCTTGGTTTCCGAGGTTTGAGGGATGCTCTCCGCCTTAGTTCGCCGAGATCCGCCTAAACATATTGGTAAGTCAGGGATCTGCCCGCTATCTACTACAATCCCGCGTTTTCCTATCTCGAAAAGCCCAGCAACTCATTTGAAAAAAAAAAAAAAACCTAAATAAAAGAAACCCAATTTTTTTTTTTGTTTTTACAAAACAAAAATTAAACGCTTCTCATTCCCCCCTCCCCCCCCCCCTCCAAAAAAAAAACAAACAACAATCCGGCTGTGTTCGGACTGTATGACTATGCAGCAAAGTCACCGGTCTCCAAACCATAGGGCGCCCTATTGTTTGAAGACCGGTGGCTTCGCTGCGTTACCATACGAGTTAAGCCTTTTCTTTTTTTACTTTTTCCTCAGGTAAGTTCGCTCTTGGCAAATTATGTAGCAAAAAGCCACCACTTGTGGGCAACGCTGCAAAAAATCGTAGAGCGATAGGTTAAGAAACCGATTTTAGCGGTCGATTGAAAGAGCTTGGCCACTATTTGAGACACTTCGCAGCCGACGCTACGAGCTGATGGGGACAATCAAACTGCGTTGAAATCGCACCATCGTTCACGTTTTTGTAGCTGTTCTACCATTCTCTGAACCATTGATTGACAGAAAAGGCCCAGTGACTCGAACTTCTGACGCTACTTGATTGGCCCCATTGCCTGGTAGCGTTGGCTGCCTCTGGAATGAAATGATGTATAGCTTTGCTTTACATTATCTTTTTTCGGAATTGTGAAAGTAGGTGTCGGTCACGGTTAGGTACACAAAAGCTCCTATAAAACAGTATAACATGCACGTAAAAGCTCTGCGCTTAAAACAAGCAAGGTACTACAGCGTGAGAGTCAGACTAAATAGGTGTCATTTGAGAGTGCTGATCCCCCACCAAAAAATATTCGCCACCTGTGATTTGGTAATTCAGAAATGTGCACGTCGGGTTCTAAGCATTTTTGAATATGAATGCCAGATGTGCGTGAAAAATACTTGAACTTGAGGGACTAAGGCCCTTTAATGACCTATATAAGTTCGTCTGACATCGTCAATATGGCAATGACTGTCACGTCAAAATTACGTACCGTAGCGTGGCTTCGCGAGCAGAGCGAAGGGTCTTTTTGATGGTTTCCGAACTCTGCATTTGTCTGGTGGTTGTTTTTATCTGCAGGTACCACGGTTACAAGCACGTCGCCCTACCTGTTGTCAAGGTTTTAATCAAGGTTGCGTCTGGAATGGATGGCGCTGACGAACAGGTAGAACTGCTGAGCACGCTTCTGGAGCTCTTTGTTCAAATCGGCATCGACGGCTGCCGCAGCTGCGAGAACCAGTTGGCCTTCAAGGAGTCCGGCGTTGCGAGCAACATGGGCATTCTTATACCGGTCATATCCGCTCTGATTCGAAGGATGGATCCTATTGTAGGCGCCAAGTCGAGACTACACAAGTTGTTCTGGGACTTTTGGTTGTACGCCTCCCTAATGGGATTTACCGTTATGTCTGGTGTGTGGCCGGACGAATGGTATTACGCCACGGGCGACATAGCGCTGAAGTCGCCCATGCTAGTCTGCAAAGAACACTTGAGACCCGTTCTGCAGTTCAACAGCAATACCCACAGTGAGACGGCTGCCATCGTGGATCTTGGGGATGTCAAGTTTCAGCTGCTGAAGGAACTGAAGGGAGGTACTGCAATCAGTACCATCCTTTACAAGATGAACTTCCAGCAGGCCACCTACCTTCTCTCGGTGATCGACCTTGAGACGTTACGAATTCAAAATTCGGTGACAACGAAATCTCCGTACCATATTATTCTTCAGTACCTCGAGTTCCCACTTATCCAGAAAGACAAGGGGGGGATGTTTACCTGCATGTGTGCTGTGGCCGACAAAGTGTTCGAGATTTTTTTAGATGTCATGATGGGCAAACCGAAGGAAGAAGAGCGGGAAGCTGAGCTTGAAGAGTATTTTGTCTATCTCCTCGTGAAATTTGTCGACCCCGAAAAGTCTATACGTCGGGTTTCTGACAGGTTCATTTCGGGCTTTATAGACAGGTTTCCCCACTTGTTGTGGAGTCGAAAAGTGCTCTGGTCTATGCTCGATATCCTACAGGCCCTAGCACACTCCCTTGAGCTTGACCCAAACGAGACGGGACAAGAAGTGGTCGTTCCCGACACACCTTACAGCATCACACTCACAGACACGATGGAAGGGCGAGAAACGGTTGTGAGAGACCTCGCGGCTCATTGCCAGGGAATCGTGCAGGAGGCAGTAAAGTGGGCTCCAATAGCCACAAGATCGCACCTCCAGGAGTACATGGTGACACACTCAGAAATGGTTGAGGCCCTTACGCAGCATACAGGCGTGGGCTTGGCAATCGAGAGTATCATGCTGTTTGCAGGTCTAAACACTGTGTCATCTCCTCAGTCCTTGACTCTTCTTGAAAGGTGGCCTGCTTGCGTGAAAAAGGACTACTCAGAATTTGTATGCTCCATGGAAATCCGCTGCAGATATTCCGGTGAAGTAGCTGGTTTGTTGATGACCTCGAGAAACACGGAATACACGCGCAAGGAGCTTGCGGCGAAGTTACTGAATCAATTGCACTCCAGCTGGAAGACCAAGCAGAAAAAGTTGCACAAGCGGTGCATCTTCCGCATCTGCGCCCTGCTTGTGAGCACAAAGGGACTTGACCGTAAGCTCCTCAAGTCGCTCTGCTGGTCTCCGGTTGAGTTCTTCTCCGAGGAGCCTACTCGGAACGCAATCTACTGTTGGCAATGGTTTCTGGCGGCTAAACCTGAAGAAGAGCTCAGATTTCTCCATGAAATGGGCGCGGCTTGGCTCGCCACGTTGGAGCGGAAACTGGGGCTCTTCTCGAAAGACCCTGTCCAAACTGACCCTTGCGCCGTCGGCGAGAAGAGTGACTTGAACCCCAAGCCTCCTTACATCATACCGCATGAGGTATGGGTAAACTTCCTCGTCGAGAAGATTGAGTCTGCCAAGTTTAGCAGCCAGGCCGAGATTGAAATCTTCACCAACCTCATATATAGGACCTTCTCGCCGATCATAGGAGAGAACCAGTTCTGCTGCCGGCACATCTCTGTGGTTGGCACGAGGTTCAATCTGCTCAGCAGCGCCATCTCGCTGTTGCAGAGCGACGCCTTGAACAGCAACATGATACGGAGCATTCTTAGAGAACGCGTGTACGCTGCTGCCCTGGACTACTTCTGTGGGCCACAGCTGTACCCCACCGAGCGAGGCGGCAAGCTTCGGGAGAACATCCTAATGATGGTCAAGTTCTGGATGGCGATGCACAACGACAAGAAGTATCTGCGGCACTGCAATTTCTTGAAGGATATGGTTGGCAATCAGATCATCAGTTCCGCGAAAGCCTCGGGGTCCGGACCCGAAAACGAGGCCACCCCGACCACAACCGAAAACGCCTCGATGCCGTATACCCCATTGGGGTGGCAGCAATTGGCGTTCAACAAGGGTTCCAGCGAGACATCTTCAGTGTCCAAGTTGACTTCGACTACAGCGTCGAAAGACTTCAGAGACAGCCCGGTGATTCCAGACACGGCGTACACGAAAGAGTACCTTCGCAAGCGATCCCTCATACTGGCCTTGTTATCCGTAGAAGTCGAGTTTCTGATCACGTGGTACAATCCAATGGCCACGTTGGACAAAGCGATTCCCGGCGAGGAGATCATAAGCGCCTGGAGGTGCCAGCATATCACCGAGCGTGGCTGGATGGAGATGGCCAGGGTTGCCTGGAGCTTGTCACCTTCACTTGCTGTGTACCTGCCCAGCCGATTTAGGTAAGTTTGGATGGGCGGGTCCGTGACCTTTCATATTCTACATTGTTAGGAACGTGGAGATATAGTTTCCGACTTAGGTGTAATAATGCTCTGAATTGTTGTCTGTCCCTCATGAAATTCACAGGAGAAAACTATTTTTGCTTGTGTACCTTATTATTTTTTTTTTAAACCAAGCAGTATGCAGTGCACTATATTTCTGAGCTTTTAGCAGCACTTATTTTAGTCACGTGCATGGTGATGCAGGTATTTTACGAACGAATAGTCTATTTTACCTATCTTATTAGATCCTCTAGTGAGCTTCGGGGCTCAAGCGAGATCCCTTACGACCGTTATATATGCGCCCCGTTCCCTTCGTTCCCTTGCTATCAAGATAGCGAGGGGATGCGGGGAGGGGAATGGAGAAGGGGGGGGGGGGGTGATAGATATGCCGTCTTAGACTACGTTTACTCAGATTGTGGAGGTATAGTTTCTCTGGCGTGGAGTAGATAGCGGTACCGAATCTTTCGTTTCATAAAATTTTATTGACAATAAAAGGATGCAGCCTCTTTGTTCGCATGTCTAAAAAAACAACAAAAAACTCGAAGGATGCTTAAGCTTAGCCTTTAAGAGTGGAACACGATAGCGTTACCGGGCATCGTCCGCAAAGCCTTCTCATATAAACCTGCGCCCATTCCCAGGCCGTGCAAGCGTGAGTGCGTGGACTATACTTCGTTCACCCTTAAACCGTGGCTAGAAGCTCGGCCTTCAGGCGGAGCTTCTCGTCTCAGATTAAGGGAGAACGGAGTATAGTCGGTAGCGTCACGTGTCACGTGACGTCCCACAGGCATGCGACGCCACATCTCACAACCCACATCGCTCACGTGTGACGTCACTTTTCACGTGGCGTCACTCTTGAGCGATGTGGGTTGTTTGAAATTACCGCGCGAGGTTATGTGGCGTGACGTCAGGTTTGACGTCATGACCCTATCGACTCGCTAAGAATGGTGAGAACAATTTCCGATAAATATATCTAAAATTGTTTTCGCCAAAGTTTCTAGCTAAGTTTGGCGTGAAAAGTTTTCCGCCAAAGTTAGCGGGTCGATAGTGTCATGTCGTCACAGCCACGTGTGACGTCACGCATGACGTCCCACGTGGCTTTGACGTCATGACTCTTTTGACCAATCAGGATTTTCCGGTCCCGCCGACGCCGGATTTTCAGCGACACGAGCTCCTTAACGCCCCCTATCTGGTTAAACTAAAATATATAACCTTACCCTGAGCAGGTTACTGCGCAAATCAGCCAAACATGTCCCAATTAGGCGTTAGACCCCGTAATAAATATTCAATGGACTTCCTTATAGGCTTTCATGAAGTATCGCGGTATCTCCTCTAAGAATATCTTAAAATGAATGGCACTAACAAATTGGTTTCGATCACCGCAAGGAAGAATTGACAAAATATAAACATAAATGTATATGTTTCGGTACCGCCAGCGGCGTCGTCAGCTAGCGGTCCGTACGATATTTTTGTGTTTCAATTAACTGCGCATCGATATTCAATTGGTATGTTTTTCACTTTATACGAGCTTACAGGCACTAGTTGGACCCAAGTATATTCGCACCCAGTGCCTCTGACCAAGAAACTCCTTTGTTGCGATATAATTTCAAGGAAACAAGCCAGCGTTTTCATTTAATCTCTCCTTCCCGAAACTTGACATAACGGGGGGATCGCAGTATCCCCCAGTGAAGATATTTGAATGCGATTCTTAGAGTGGACCCGAGCATTGCGTGGACGCTCGAGTGGGGCTCGTGATAATCGTTAGGTCGGGAAGCATTCGGGTAGTGGCCCGTGTTCAATCGCTTCAATGACGACAATAGCTGAACCATAGCAATGTCTTGAACTCAGCGAGTGTCCTGTGCTTTGCAAACCCCAGCGCGTGGCTATGATCAACATTGGCGTTATATAATCGGCTCCAGACCACGTGGCCACTTGTTCTGGCTGTGATTTTAGGGAGTGAACGCTTTTCGTTTTTCTTTATTGTTTTCTGCGACTTTGATTCCGTGGGGTGAAAAGCGAACGGCTGTTTCACAGGTCATTAACGTCAGGGATCCGTTCTAAGCGGTATCTGCGCAAAGTACGAACATCATTGCATCGCCCCTTTAAAAGATGGTTTATAGTCGTTAGACTGTCTTGACATTCTCCTGGTCACATTGTCAGTCTTTCCCTTAAAAAGAGTTGAAAGTTGATTGCCACTTTTTTTATCTTGCCACTTTTGCGAGCAAGCTTATCCAAATAAATGCGAATACCAAAGGCACATGCCAGATGCATTGCAGGCTGAGAGAAGTTGTCACTCCCGTTCAATTATTTACCGCGCAACTGTTTACTTAAACGTGTTTTCTAGGTCCTCGGATACTTTGCGCTCGGAGGTAATTCGACTGGTCCAAACAAATCCGGACATGGTGTGCCACATCGGCGAAGCTCTGCAGTACATGGTTACTGCGGATAGCGTGATGGAGGACTCCCCTAGCCTGTCCTATATGCAGGCGTGGGCTTCGGTGTCTCCCATCAAGGTCCTCGCCTACTTCTCGAGACTTTACTCACCGCACCCGATCACGGCGCAGTACGCCGTCCGAGTCCTTTCCTCCTGTTCTCCGGACGTGCTGATGTTCTACATTCCTCAGCTGTCCCAGGCGGTCCGCTACGATACCATGGGCTACATTCGGGACTTCATCATCTCGTCCGCCAACATCAGCCAGCTACTCACCCACCAGTTCATCTGGAACATGAGAACAAACATGTTCAGGGACGAGGACGGCCAGGAAAAGGACCCCGACCTCTTTGAGACCTTCAACACCATGATCAGTGCCATGGTTAGCAATCTGTCTGGCAAGGAGAAGCTCTTTTACGAGTCCGAGTTCGACTTCTTCACCAAGATTACGGCCATTTCGGGCGTGCTTCGGCATTTCCCCAAGGGACCGGAGCGCAAGAGGGCCTGTCTCTCTGAGCTGTCCAAGATAAAGGTAGAGCAAGGCAGCTACCTACCGTCGAGTCCGGAGGCCATCATCGTGGACATCGACTACGCCTCGGGAGCACCGATGCAAAGCGCCGCCAAAGCTCCGTTCCGAGCCAAGTTCAAGGTGAGGAAAGTGGGCATCGAGAAAGTCCAGGAGATTGCCACGTCCGGATACAAGGACCTGCGAGACGCGGGAATGTTCAGCGTGGCCGACATGAGGAAGGAGCACTGGCAAGCGGCCATCTTTAAAGTTGGCGACGATGTGCGCCAGGACATGCTGGCCTTGCAGGTGATTGCGCTCTTCAAGCACATTTTCTGCATCGCCGGCATCGATGTCTACTTGTTCCCGTATCGGGTGGTAGCTACATCTCCCGGGTGCGGGGTCATTGAGTGTGTCCCGGACACCACGTCCAGAGACCAGATGGGACGCCAGACGGACATCGGTCTGTATGAGTACTTCATCCAGAAGTACGGCGACGAGTCCATGCGGAACTTTCAGGAGGCGCGCAACAACTTCGTCAAGAGCATGGCTGCGTACAGCGTGGCCATGTTTCTGCTACAGGTGAGCTTGCGTTCTGCCTAAAGGGACCATGAATCGATAGTGGGCTTAAATTTTACTATTTGCAGATTATTTTGTTTGGCGCATAAAGGTATAGGGAGCAACAAAAGGTGGATATCGCTTGGAATCTAGAAAATCAAGGGCGGAGTAATTGTTTTTTGGCGACAGCCGAATGTGGCGAAGTTTGCCAGTGAATCCCCACCTGTCACTTGTGTAGGGTTGTGGCTCTCTGCTAAACTTAGCGAGCAAAATTTCGCCCTGAAATTTAGCGGATATTTTCCTGCCAAGTTTATCGGGAGAGATTTTTCACCAAATTTAGCGGGAAAAATTTTTCCCGATACATTTCGCGGCAAAATGCTTCGTTCGTTTTCCCTCTAGATTTAGCGGGATATATACGAATGTACGAAAGTAACCCGTGTGCAGCAGAGTGTGCAGGCAATACTACCTAGAGGATAAGACTTTTGCATACCGTCATCGGATCCCCGACCCGCCCCTGGTGGCAAACAGGCTGAAGCTTGACGGGAGTAGTCGGCAAGCGCAAGCGCGTCAGTCGTGGCTGGGCCGCTTACAACCGTAGCGCTTGTGAGAAGGTAGCGCTCGGCGGCGCCACGACGAGCGAGTCTGCCGCTTTTAACGCTGGACTTCATGAGACGAATTCGCTGCGAAAAAGGGACGAATTTGGCACTGCGGCTTTTGCTCTAGGCGTGGCATCAGCGCAGCGTCTGCGACGTCGCGCGCAAAGCGAGCGCACCGTCGGGCGACGTTCGTCAGTTATTCGTCACATAATTCGCTCCATGGAGTTCAGCCTTCAGCCTTCTCGTCAAGCCTAAGTTCATTCGCAGGCCGTGGCACGGGAATGGTGTATACTATAGAGTTATTACAACAAATGCTAGAGGCTCAGCTGGCGCTTGTGTCCTCGGAACTTCTGGTTGCCAATTGAAGCAGACAGCAATTAGTCTACTTTTCCAGTGTTCCTCTGCAGGGAAACCAGTTTAGAACGAACCCACTTACAGCGAATTTTTGTCGATATTGAACTCACGGAAACTTTAAATAAAAATGCATGCAAAAGGTACTTTTTATAACGAACAACACATTGGCTACATCGAACGTTTTACCCCGGGAAGGCTTTCAAAAACGTGCAAACATTCGTCTTCTAGCCTGTCCCTTCCCTCCAAAAAAAGGTAGGAAAGAAAGAAAATTACAAAACAAAAGCTCATCCCGCAAACAAAGTTGAGCGAAGAGAAGCGATTCAAAAAGAAAGAAAGCTAAAAAAAAAAAAAAAAAAAAAAAAAACCGCCGTGCACGCACGCAAAAAAAAAAACAACAACAAAAAAAACTTTTCATTCCAAAGCCGTCGCCCACGAAGAGAAGCAATCCAGGGCCCGTTTGCTCGAAGCACTAACCGCGGCTAAAGTTAGCCGCACTACCTAGGAGGGGGATTTCGAGATCACGTGACTGGCTCGGTAGGGATGCGGGGAGACATGGCGGTGCCAAAGTGAGTGAGCGCCGCTCGCTTTGGAACTAATATGTCGTTGTGGTTGCAATATCGGGCGGGTTAGTAAGCAACGAATGGTGCAGGAGGCTTTCGCTTTGCCTTACCTCATTAAAACCGCAAAGCATGGGCAATGACATCGCCGCATTTTTTAGATAATGTTTCGATTCTGGGCATTCCTAAGCCTAAATGAACGCGATAATTGTCGGCATGGCAACGTCTTTGGAAAGCGGATTGTTGATAGCGCACAAAAGCAGACAGCGTCCCGACAGACTTTTTTCTAAATTATCCAAGCATCGCGAGGAGAACGCTGGAAGTGTAATTCTACGGTTCACGCGCGCTGGCATTCCTCTTATAAAAGATTTGAAGTAAAAAAATCATAATAAGGCTTTAACGAACGCGCGTGCAAGGCGAAATTTGTTTTATACTTTTTGTTAGAATGGTTACTACTACAGACGCCAGCACGTGCGACGCGTGCAACTAAAGTCGTCGCATGCACCTCGGTGCTAGGATAATTTAGAGAAACGGTCTGTTGGGACGCCGTCTGCTTTTGTGTGCTATCAACAATCCGCTTTCCAAAGACGTTGCTATGCCGACAATAATCGCGTTCACTTAGGCTTAGGAGTGCCCAGAATCGAAACACTATCTAAAAAATGCCACGATTTCATTGCCCATGCTTTGCGGCTTAAGTGAGGTAAAGCAAAGCGAAAGCCTCTAGCACCATTCGTTGCTGACTAACGGGCCCGATATTGCAACCACAACGACATATTAGTTCGAAAGCGAGCGGCGCTCACTCACTGGGGCACCGCCATGTTTCCCCGCATCCCTACCGAGCCAGTCACGTGATCTCAAAATCCTCCTCCTAGGTACTGCAGCTAACTTTAGCCGCAGTTAGTGCTTAGAGCAAACGGGCCCAGAAGGGGAGATAAGCAAAAAGAAATAACTGCACGCATGCAATAAAAGAAAAAAAAAAATTCCAGCGCGTTGTTACAAGGCCGAAGCGAAGAGATGAAAAAGAGAGAGAAACTCTCGCCTACAACGAACGCATCGTGGAAGTTCGCTGTAAATGGTTTTTGCTATGTCGAACTATTTCCTATATCGAACTGATCGTAGCGTTTCCTGCTGTTCGTTATAAAAGGGTTTGACTGTATTACTATGGGAAACGTACGCGATATTTTTCTCTTCGCCAGAGAATAATAGAAATCAGTGTAGGGTGATTTCAGATAAGATCGACCAAAGGGTGGCTGGTCGACATTTTTAAATCAACTGATGTTTTTATATGACATTGTCTAGTGTCTGGTATAAACGAATCCACACTTAATTTTGACCAGAAAAAAAATTTGGAGACAAGAAAAATCGTAAGGCAGGGAGAGGTGGACAGTTGCAATAACGCGCACTGATGGAGGGGGCAAGTTTGAAAGTGAATAATTAAAACAATAAAATTAGGAGAATTTTAAAACTTTTTACAAACAAGCTATGGGTACAACTTGCTTGTAATATAAAGTAATAATATTTATTAAAAATTTATTTAGTTTTCTAAAAATTGCCAAACATGCCTGCTCGAACGACAAATGGCAAACTTTGGAAATCTGTATCTCATGAAATAATTTAATCATTATTACATAACTTGCAGACATTATTTTACTAATATATGGCTATTATTGAAAAAATAAATAAGGTATCTGAGTGACACAATAGTTACGATATATTTAGGCAAACATGGGAAAAAAATCAAACAAAGAAAAATTCCAATGCGAATAAAAAAAAAACACCACCTTCGATTTTTTTAAAATTTGGGTACCCTGTTATACTCTATTTCGGCATTCATTTCTATTAAAAACATGTTGCATCATTGCACTGTGAAAGAAGAAACAACTCCCCAAAGTAGGGTCCTTTTTCAAAGCCTACACTTAGCAGTGTCCTATACAAGTTCCAGTTTCATGAAACTTGCACAAATCTTTTATATACATTTATTCAGATGAGGTCATTGATAAAAAGAGCGATCGGTCACACAGTAAAAGGGAGGAGAAACTATATACAGCATTTTACATAAGCGTACAAAGTGGTATCATATTAGAGACTAATGATTTGAGAAAAGATGATGCAGTGTGAAGTTGTACCTTCCGGTATATTTTACATCTAGAGTAAAATAAATAACTTTACTTCCACACACAAAAACAAAGATATAATAGTAAGATATTTAGGTTGGCTGTGTATTTACGATTACAAACAATTTCAGGTGACGGATGCCATAGTGCCTAACTGGAGCAGCTTCGATGCTCTCGGTGTATGAATGAATCGTGGCAAGCCGATATATTTTATCCTGCTCGAGGATAACATTTTGAGATTTTTTTATAGTGATCAGATAAAAATTATTAGTAACCACCAACAAAAACAGTAGGTTAAATACCCCGTGAAGAAAAATGTGATAAATAAGATGTCCCTGCATTCAAAATGAGCAGTCCTTGGGAAATCAAATTCGGCACTTTACGCTAAGGTTTTCCTCGCTGTACCCATTTAATAAAGTTGCTTCCAAGAAGATCCGACTGTCCGTGCTACATATACGTCACAGGTCCCTTCTGTTGATGACTCGCTGAGCCGCCACGCGTGCCAAGACTGAATGCCAGGGAAGGCGCGCACCGTCAGCCACTCTTCTTTTTTTTTTGTTCACGATACCGAACAACCTCATTTTCGTCCAGATATACAAGATGCACGCCTTTCAGTTTCTTTGATAGAACGCTCACCATTGTCCTGGCCGTCTGAATTGCGCTTACTGAACGTTCTCTCAGGTTGTTCAGCGTGGCCTGGTGCTTCACGAGTCCGCCAACTCCGTCACATGCATTTTTCCCATGTCCAGATGCAGAAAATAACCACTGGGCTTGTGGGCAATCGTCCTTTGCAAATTGGTGAAGCTGGTAGCGATTCTTGAAATGACTGGCGGCGCCGTCACTTACGTACGTCACGTACGAGTATACCGCAACGTTGTCTTCAACCCACTCCTTCACTTTTTCTAGAGCCAAGCAAGCGTGAGCGGCGTCGTGACACAGGTCCTCACTGATGATGGCAAAGCTGTTTGTAGATTTTCTTGTCGTCACTACACATGTAAATACCGAAACTTGTTTTTTTTTTTTTCCAGTGATATGCTTGCACTTCGTCAGGAAGCACGATGGTCCAGTTTTCAGCAAAGTCAAAATGAAAGACAATGCTCCCGCGTTGCATGCACTGTTTTTCATCGTAGATCGCTTTACCTTGCGTTTGCCGGATATGGTTGTGAAGTACCCAACTTCCAACCGTCACTTGGATGACTTTTAGGAAAGTCTCAGGTTCCAAAGTTTTTTTCACAAGGTCGCCGGACTCCCATGTTGCAAGCACAATCTCTTCATCCTCCGGGATATCAAGTTCCTGGAGTGTATGAAACTGGCCTTTTGGGCAGTGATCACAGTCTCCTTGAAGGCACAGTTCTGTTGCTGGGTCGCACAGAAATGCCGAGTTCATTTCACCAGTGTTGAAT